CTTTCCTGCCTGGCACATTACATTGCCATTGGAATAGACGATGATCCCTTTTGGGAGTTGGTGAGTTGGAGTCACCTTTGCCACCTTGGCACTGCATTGTTTGCCCTTCCAGTGGATGGTGGGGTCCTCTAGAAGGTTAATATCATGGGCTTTTAGAAGCTCAATGTAGTGAGCACTCTCCTTCCTCAGGTTCTCCAACTGACGCCGCAGTCGACGGATCTCCTCAGCTGCACAGAGACCAAGCAAAAAACTATGATGAAATATAGTTGTAGGCCTATTTTTTTATAATGAAAATTAGACTAAAACAAAATGGTAATATTTGATCATGAGAGCTATGACAAAATGTTTTGTATTTTTTAATCAACAAATCATCATCATTTGAAAGATGTCCACATGAACATGAACTAACGATTGTCTTAATGTTAAGTCTTGTTCAACGACCTGCCACATCTGTGGAATCAAGTAAAACAGTTTCCTCCTTCGGTACAGGATTAATGTGGGCAGTGAAGCATCTAAATCTTCCTCTAGATATTTGCTACAGAACTCACACTGTGATAATGTTATCTAACAATTTAGCTACTCCTTAAGCTGAACCCAGTGAATATGAATTTATTTCAAATATGAGGGAATCTATTCCACAGAGAATCTGGGACACTGCGTGTGAACATATAAATTGTGGTTTCAAACCTCGATAGGTGAGAACACCTGTAACCATGGTAACAGAAGACTACAAAGATGGGGGCAGAGTAGCCTTAAAATGTTTATAAGATAAACTAAACTTGTTTTTGTTGACTACAACTAACAAAAATGAAAAGACACATAGTTGATCATACTTTAATGACATGAAGCACATATTCTGTAATTCAACTCTAAGAACATCTAAATTATGTGTGAGGTGTTGTTAAATTTTACCTTGGATTTTATCTCCTCCTTCCAGAAGCATTGTATCATTCTGTTTCTTCAGTTCAGTGATGTAGCGAAAAGCCTGGTCCAAGATCATGTTCTTACTCTAGGAATAAGGTGATGACAGTAAAACATGCCACACAGCAGCTAATTTGCTGGATACTAACATAACAGGTTGTTGATACAGCAAAACAATAATACCATCTTTTCTCTTACCTGTTTAAGTGCCTGGGAACAGGGTAGAAGATTACCAATGCGGTTAATCCCAGCATTGATCTTCTCTTTTCTGTGTCTCTCAACTGAATAAAGAGATTAAACGTTAATTACAAGCAACCTGTTAAATAACCCCTCAGTAAATCTATTTACAACTAGCACTAAGGTTTAAACACAATAACCCTTTTTTTACCTGCATTGTGAGATTCTTTGTTTTTCTTCTTTCTGTTCAAAAATTTAATACATTCACATTTTTATTACAAGCATGGAATAAAAGCGCCTGTGCTGATAATTTGGTTAAAACTATTATTTAAAAAAGGCAGACATCTCAGAAAGCTTACTTGGGTTTACGACCAGGTGTCTGTGTTTCAGTCATCTCTGGCATCCTGTCCTAACAGTTGCCTGTATGATAACATACCAGTCAACACATTTAACAGCTGGACCTAAAATCCCTTCCGTGACCGTCCTGCAATGAAAACATAAAGCATCCAAACAGAGAATGAATTATAAATAAGCATGACACTGGCTAGCCGTACAACACCAAAGAAAAATGATTTTGTTGCAACTATACAGAACTGGTTTTCATAAAATTGTAAAGTAACCTAAAACAAACATGTTAGGCTTACACTAATCTTCGTCTTCTACTACAGGTTAATACCTGTAGCAGTAGATGCTAACATGCTGGTATAGCCATAACCTAGCTCTACAGCTAATCTGTTTAACAAACTGCACAAACAGTTCCGGTGAGTGAGTTCTAGTTTACGTTGTCGATAACAAGAAATGTTCTGATAATTATTCTGTCATTTAAACAGCAAGAAACTAGCAACCTGAGCAAATACCTATTCACTTAGCTTTCTTTTAGCTAGCTGGCTATAACTAGCTTAGCTTACCATTACCGACATAATTATTAAGCTAAATAATGGCGGGTGTCTTTGCATCCCAGGTGATAATAGACTGCGAACTGAGGGTAGTTCCCACTAACCTCTAGCCTAGTCATTTTGTTGACTATTTGTCTCTGCGAGATCTTTGAGGATGAAAGCTAGCTGTTAGCTGGTAAGCCAAAGCATTCAACTCATCTCTCAAAACAATCTTGATAAACCTAATGTGGTGCAGAAAGGGGAGGGGTCCGGTGGTGCCAACAGCCAATAACCTTACACTTGAGAGGTTTTAGCCAATCACGAACGCGAACTGGTTTTCACTAAATACACCTAGACATTTATACTGTACAACTTTATACGCAGCAAATGTTTAAACCAAATTTTCAACCATATTTGTGTTTAGCAAATTATTCAAACAGAAGAGCACAATTAGTAACACATGTACTGCAAATAGTAATTATTTTATTTAGACGTTAAAAAGTCTTACAATATAGAGCTCCAGAAAAGATAAAATTTTTCAAATGAAGGGAAAACATGCTTATACTACAGTGGAGAGGACAGATCTCTCCTTACATGCAGAGGGGTCAGAGCTTCCTCTGGGTAATACATTGTATATGTAATATTTGTGACCATACCAAAACTTCCAAACTATCAGCAGAACCTCAAAACCTAGTGAAGGGATGTGAAATAGAAACAGACGCTGACTGATATTTAAGAAGCCCGTTTCTGTAGAGTGGCTACATAAGATGCCAAAAGTGTTTAAGCTGAAATGCCTCAAAACACTTGCATGCATTTAGAGGCACACATCCTTCAACACCTTAATTATAGTACTAAAAATAATGCCCAAATCCAATGTCAAAGAGCCAATCTAATGTTATCTGGACATTCCTCATAAAACAATGCAGAATGCCCTTCTCGGAAACACATGCATTGTTTCTCTCATTACTTAATGTTTTCACTCTTGGATGTAAACCCAGGAGAACCTCTGAAACACTTGCCATCTCATCAAAAATAAAAATAGCACAAACAGTTGAAGTGGTATTAAATTAACAGGCCAGAAACAAAAGTTATTCGGCAATTATGAGTGGTGACCACGTTTTCCCACCACCTCTAAACCGTTCAGCCTCTGAACATACCAATAAACTGGTCAGACTCATTTTGCCTGAACCTCAGGGTTCAGGTGGTGTAGGAACAGTGTTGTGACTGTTCCATGTAATAACTCAAGCATCACTCCAAAGTGGGAATCTGTGTGTCAGTAATGGTCTTTCAAACACTTTCACCACTTCAAATGTTTCAATGTTTTCTTCAGCTCAACAATAGAGAAATGTCCCCATCAGCTTTATAACCGCATTAAAAACAACTCCAACACAAAAATATGTTTCACAAGGACCCCACCCCCCCCCCCCCCACCAAGTCTCAAAAAACCGTCTGAAGTTGGCAATTTTGTCAATAGGAGCACTTTGGATACTTTGTCATTTTCAATTATCTGTACCAGGAAAAGGGAGCAATCAAATGTGCAAAAATCAAAGGGGACCCCTTTGAAAAAATAACTGCAGCAATATTTTGTACTTTAAGTTTATCTTCTCTTTTTGGCGTCCTTTGAAGAACGTTGTTGAATGTATCAACCCTGGGGCATTTGTCACAGTTCTGTTTCTGTGCAGGCGGGCGTATCTTCATTCTTTCCATAATGTGTCCCTACTCTGCCTTCTGAAGCTCTCCGCTGGGAGGTGCACATGGGCTGCGCAGGCTCTTCTGCAACACATGGGCATCTGCGGGTTCTATCCTCTTGTAGTAATTCTTTTTTGTTTCGATGATCTCAAAGCCAAACCTCTGGTAAAAGTCAATGGCTGACTCATTGCTGATCTGCACGTGACTATGGTGAAGGAGAAAGAAATGTAGTTAGTGACAAAGGACAAGATTTGGTCAAAAAGTAACATTTAACAAGATCAAATGATTACATTTACACCAGGGTTGAAAGAATCAGTCAGTTCGATCATTGTTACATGTAATTACTCTATACTGAAAATACATGTTATTTGCACTGCAATAAACTCACAGGTAAATGTTGTCAAAAGTGCCATCCTTCTCACAGATGTTTAACACATGATTCAGCATCTTTGTACCTGGACAGAGACATAATGAGAAAGATGTAAAAATAAAACAAAAGATCAAACAGTACCACTACAACACATTGAAGAGAGTCAGAGCTCCTCACCAATTCCAAGCCTACGGTAGGGTGCTAGACAGCCGAGTGTCATAATGTACAGTCTCTTCTGGTTCTGAGAGTGGTCCACTCTGCAGCACACAGCACCCACTGCAATGTCATTGAAGTATGCTGCAAGACAAATAAGAGGCAACACTGAAACACCATCAATAGAAAGGAAATGCCTAATGTCTTATAACCTAAAATGCCATAACTTCTAGACTGCAGAGGGCAGGGATATTTGAGATTTTATTGGCAGTGCAAAAATGGCCTTATTCTAGTCCAGACTGGCTTTCCACATGCTGTATTTTTTGATGATATACAGTAATAGGACATAATTTTGTTAAGTGTTGTACGGATAACACCTTTTTCAACCTCATATGTGGAAATTAAGCTGTTAAATAAAAATCCCTTTCCTTCATGAGGATGGTAAATCCCCTACATTGCATCTACCTGTTTTAATCTTTCCATATACCGTTTCTCTGTCTAATGTTTGCTGTCACAAAGACCATGTTTTCTATATGCAAAGAGATTTATTTGAAGTTATCTGGGTGTTAGCTGCATGAATAATGTCTCTTACCTAGCTTTGCAAGCTCTCCAACTTCCAGTACATCTTTGTAAAACTTGTCATTGTAGCTGACTGGGAAAATGACCTGGTTCAGGCGTTTCAGCTGCTTAATGTTGTGGGGCGTAACATCCCCCAGCTCGATCCGGCTACTGGAACAAGAGCAAAACGGTCAAATAGCTGAAAACAGGAAAAACACTACATTCAAGATGCTTGGACTCAAATGTTTTCAAGGCCCACTGCACAGCAACAAAACGAACAAGAGGAGACAGCAGCATCTTGTTAACTTTGAGATATAGCTCTAGTCTGCTGAGAACTCAAAAGCAGTTTTATATTTTAATAAATGTTATTTCTTGGAAATTAACTAGCAACTATTTTAATAACTGATTAATCGTTTAGGTCCATTTATGCTAAGTACTTAAATTACAAACTTGCACACTGTACAGTGTTTAGCACTGTATATCGTTTATACTGTTTTCATTGCTATTTACAATGTCTTTATTATTACAAGTTTATTTTAGGCTTCTTCATTAAAACACCCTTGTTTAACTGCTATAACACCTGAGATTCCTCCTTTGGGATTATAAAGCACATCTCTAAGTGATAGCCAGTCTAGAGTCAGTGGAAGCTGTCAATGTCCCCAAAAGGTAAGACACAAGCCGCCTAAAATAACTTATTTAACACAATAACACAAGATTTTGAGATTTTAAATTTTGTTTTACTAAGAAAAGGGGATATACACTTGCTAAAATCATGATAACGTCAGGGAATGAGTGTAGATTTGGGACTTAGTAAGTGGCCGAGAAGCTCACTGTGGTATTTATAGGACGACTAAATATCTAAAAACAACTGTCACGTGTGTTGGTCATCAGGACGTGCAGTGCCAACTTCCGTCCACACTTCGGTCAAGTGTGAAGTCTCATCTAAACAATCAACAGCGTTAATTTGTCCTCGTGTCATTAGAGAATTGACACCTTGGCCAAAAGTGGGTTAGCCAAAACGTGTAGCTTCAGTGCTTATCATGTATTGCTCTGGCAGATCAAGTTACACAGAGCAAGCCGATGTTGTCTGTAACGTTACTGTTAACAAGACAACTGACAGAGCTGCCCAACACAAGCTGCGTGTGCAGTAACGTCTCCAGTAACTTATTTGACTGTCCTGGCCACCTTGCTCCTGCTGACGTTCTGTTTGGGTGTTGTCGATGTTCACGGCGAACACACAAGTAATGAGATCCAGGATCTGCCTTCTTAGCTTAGCTAAACTGGGTTTACCGACCCTGCTTCCCAGTAGCAGCGAGCTAGTTAGACTAGCTTCTTTGCAATCTGAACCAGTCAACAATCTGCTTAGGTTGACGATGATATCTGTCACAGAACTGCTTCAGTAATCGTGCTGTCGTTTGTATTTTCTGTCCTACAACCAAACAAAAGTAGCTTAGCTAGCTAGCTAGCTAGCTAGCCATGCCGTCTTCTCCCCGCCTCCCCTTGGAGGAAAAAAAATAACAGACATGAAAAACTTTACTCGTGATAAGCTACTTATTCGTGACTTAAAAGCTTACACTCACCCTTTCATTCTCAACAAATATTATCCCTTACTTTCGACGAGACTGGTCCTGACAGTTATTTTGGGTATAAAAAAAAAGAGGAATTCTGACAGAGTTAGGGTCGGGGATGTCTCCTGTTTTACCCTCCACATGTAGCTACTTGCGATGGTTGCAGTTAGCTTGGCCGCCGCCGCCGCACTCCTTCCAAGACTGTGTGCGGACAGTCAACCCTGACCCCCGCATGCGCACAAGCCTGCTATGTATAGATGGAGACTTTTTAACCTGATATTCGTCTCTCGGGTTGCACCCTGTCGCAAGATCGAGTAATCAAATCAGAGCACTGCGCATACATTTTGGGGTGCAGGTACTCAAGCTGAGACAGAAGCTCATCTTGTATTTATGTAGCCTATTTATTCAGATAACAATAGACTCATGCAGATGTGTTAAAACACAGTTCTATGAAATTATCGATTCACACAAATCAGTGGCCTTTAGTATTCAGTTTGGAAAACTTGGTGACAGTTGTTGCATTACAAGTCTGTCAGTAGCTGGACACCACATAGCTACGTTTCCTGCAAGTTTTAATAGACTACTTGTTATTTGGCAATGATCTAATAGTAATTAAAGTAATCCCTTAAATATTACCGCTTACACCCCTGGGCCCGTGTCTGGTATTAAAATACTCACTGACACTAGATCGATCACCAGTGTTTTTTTTGTTTGTTTGTTTATTTTATTGAACATCATATTTACAAACATACAAGGCAATTAAGTAAAATTGTCTACAGAACCCATATAGAACCGAGCAACACATCATACACCTCAATAGCTGAACAAAACAAATTAATCAATTGAAGAGAGAGAACAAAAAATAAATAAATAAAACAAATAAATACATTAAAACATATAGCCAGGGACTTACAATAAATCTAATCGTGCAATTGTAGACAAAAGACCTCGGGCTCCTTTAACACTCATGCAGCCCAGGGATTTCGTAAATGTAGATATTTCGTGCCTAAACGCATCTAAATAAGTTTGCCTTTTACTCCATTTACATTTATTTACGCCAGTATTTCTTCACTTGAAAATTTTTACTGTAGCCCAATTGAGCCAAAATGGCGGATGTTGGAGGGCGGAGCCAAAATGGCGGCAGTTTCAGGGTCCTGCATTAAAATCGAGCAGCGAGTGAATGAAGTCAGCTGATGTTTCTGCGCTATCACGCATTGTAGCACCCATCGCTTCTCTCTCGAGGCAAGAAGGAAAACCACCATCTCACAACCAGGCGGTAAATATTGCATTCTGTACAACTGAGATATTATAAACCAGCATTTACTTGTGTGTTGACAATACATTCATTTTTGCTATCTCATTCCCCCAAAACGGTCGAGCAAGCAATTTTCAGCCAGGCCAAGAAACCAGACATGCTATCGTTTTTATAATCACGAATAACCTACGGGGCTAGCTAGCGTTGTTGTTCTTTTTAAGACAAAGTGGGATTGAGTTGAAATAGCAGGTTTATTTACGATTTTAGACCCTCACTGCTGTGTCACTAGAGTAGTTTCGAGGAAAGATGTCAATAAGGGTATCGTGCACTGGGATCAGGTTCAAAGCAATGGCACAGCACCGTGCTACCAGCGTATGCAGGCTACCGGGTAATTCATTGAATCACTTCTGTTGCCACGGGAGTCTGTAATGTAATTTAGCTGAACTGTTTTGGACATCTGTGTGCATTACTGTAGGTAGGTTTGTAATTCACATCAGTGGGACAAGACGCTTTGCGTGGTTATGTCACTTGCATGTAACATTTCTTTGACGCTTTGCGTGGTTATGTCACTTGCATTTCTTTTCCTAATTTTGCACAGACACCATGTAGCTATATGTATATGCCTCTTCTCATTGTTAACTACATTTGGTTTGCATTGTAGGTACTGCACAATTGTCTCTTCCTGGTGTACAAGCTGTTTTGTTTCCGTTCTTTCATTTTAAATTTAATGTCAGTAGGACCTCATTCTAGCCTTCTTTTAAAACTATTGTTCATAAATTAGCCAATATAACATCTATGGTGATTAGTAGATAATGAAGTAAGCCCATTGCCCACATTCTATTGAGAACTGCGGTGTTTCCACAAACTGTTATAATTTGTACTTCCCAGTTTTGCACCATGCTAGTTTTCCACTTCCTTCATCAGCCTCACACTGTGGGTCAGTCATGTGTCAGGATCATATGACTGGTGTCATTTTTGTTAAATTCTTTGTCAGTAACTCTTATCTGGAAGTTAAGAACAAAAGTAGTATTCATTACAAGACAATCTGACCTCAGCTACTTTAAAACAAGCATATAACAATTATTGTAATATCACTGTCATTACATGTTTTTAAAAGGTTTATTTGTAATTCTGGTTTGATCTGTAGAATTTTCATTAATCAAGCAGGTAGATAGAATTTGTGATCTCATATAAATTAGTCATTAGAGCAATAGACCTTATTTTCCAGCTGCTCCAGCTTGTTAAAAAGCATTCATGCCGTAATTGTCCAGTCATAATTGTGAATGTTCCAGCTGTCCTCAATTTGTCTTTGAGATAAACTTGCCAATAATTATTTATTCAAAATAAGTGGCATTTCTATGTTTTTGGTGTTTGTTTTCAAACTAAATAACGTCACAGAGAAGCTGAGTGAAGCCTTTCTAGATTTCATTCCTGCCGTTGGCCTTTTGGTGGAGCTGCTTTATTTCTGCAAACATGGCCAAACAAGCTGTGTGGCGTAACAGGAAGATCTGTGTATGAGTGGGAAGGACAAGAAAAGGGCATGGATGAAGTGTGTGTGTGTGTGTGTGTGTGTATGATATGATTGTCATATGTATATTTATAACTGAAGGCAGAATGAGCATGCTGACTGGATCTGCTGTGTCTGATACATTGCAGATCAAGCTGCTCTGCACAACATCTGCACTGAGCTCTCTGGGGGGATGGGTTTCTGTCACAAGTGGTGACACCATGTGTTTGTTTAACTTCTGCCTGTAGCCAAAATGTATACTGTAGTATCTAGCACATATGTGATATAAATATGACAGAAAAAAGAGGTAGAAAAGATATGAATCCTTAATTCAAAGATATCCCTATGGAAGTCAGTTGTATTCCTTCATATAAAAATGGAGCATGTTTGAATTTTTTGTATATATGTGAAAGGAAAACCGGAACATGTTGCTCTGTGGGATTCCCCTCTAATGTTAGCCAGACACATCATATTGACCGACTGTAGCACTTAGGTGTGTTTGGAGCCGAGGAGGAGGGCGGCTTAGATGAGTCTCTGTAACGCTGAGAAATTCAGAGTCATGAGCAGTGATATAGCTGCATTTTCCTGACAGATTCCTCGGTGGCATCAAAGATTTGTCTATAGATTGGCTTTAATTAACCTCCTTTTCTTTTCTTTTCTATTTTTTTCTTTTCTTTTATCTGCTTTTTTGTTTAGAAAAATGTGTTTTGGTCTAAGTCTGTTGTAAAAAGCCACCTTGACAATGTTAAAACACAGGATTTGTAAAAATCCAGGACAATTTCTCTTAGGTCTACCTTCTAAAAAAGGAAAGGATCGGTGCCAAGTTAAAGGGACAAGACAACAGCTTTATGGATATGTGGCCGCCTCTGATGGATCACTTTACCAGAGATCTAGCTCAGACCCACAGTATTGAGATAATATGTGCATTATTGTGATGCAAAATAATATTATAATAATCATAGGATAATCACCTTTATTTGGCCGAGTATGTTACACACAATTTGTTGCTGGTACAGAACCAAGACAGCCATCAGCCATCTGGCCACGTTGTCACTTGTTAGAATCCAGCCCGAGACCCTAGTCAAATCATTTCAAGCCTAATTTCTCTCTCTCTGTCGTGAAGTAGGTTGATTTTAATTCTTCTATTAACCCGGTCACTGCTGGCTCAGTCCTAAAACAGGTGTGTAACAATGTGCAGTCTAATGTAACAGCAGAAATCGCTACTGTTGCCAACAGCTAACCTTCAGCTGGTAATAAAATCCTTCATTATGTAGAGCTTATGTTGTTGAAAGTGATCCTGCCTCTCCTGCAGTCCTCTGGTTCATTACCTCCTTTCCTTCATGGCTCCCTCACGTTATTTGTCCATTCTCTGCTCTTCCTACAGTTAGACTAACAAACCAGTGAAGATGGACATGTCCAAGCTGCCTAAGATCAGGGACGAGGAGAGAGAGAGCCAGTTTGGATACGTTCATGGTGTCTCCGGACCAGGTTGGCCACCATAAATGCATAAACACCGTCAACACTATCAAACTCTTTCTTCACTTTGCACTTGAAGCACAGCATTATCATACAAGCCTTAAATTTGCAGCAGGTTAGGCCCAAATGTTTGTTGTGCTGTTCGAAGTTGGTAAGAAGTACAAGACATTGGGTTGCTACATTACCCCCTGTTCATCATGCATGTCTCACTCTCTCTATTGGCTTCTAGGTTTGTGGCATATTTTCATGATCAAAGATAAGTTTTTATATAACTGACATTAAGCATAGTTTCTACCAACAATATTTTAGCTGAGACTGTAGAAAAAAAGAAGAGAGACTCGTACAGCTACTGCCCTTTGTCTTCACTGGGTTTGATTGTTTAACTGCATTCAGTCTTATTGTTTACCTTGTTTGTATTTCAAGTGGTGACAGCCACAGCCATGGCAGGAGCAGCCATGTATGAGCTTGTCCGTGTCGGCCACAGTGAACTGGTAGGAGAGATTATCAGGCTGGAGGGAGACATGGCCACCATCCAGGTCTATGAGGAGACATGTATCCTTTTGGGAAACTTCTTTGCCAAGCTATGTTCATTCAAAATATATACTGCTGATCACAAACAGGAGCAGCCAAACACAAAAAAGAAGTGCTACTCAAAGGAAATCCACAGAAAGACCCCAGAAACAAAACATAAAACACTTCAATATCCAAAAAAATGGTGGCTGTAGACCATGGATCGAGCCTCAGAATTTTGTCTGAACCCTATCCGTGCCTGATTGTGTGGTGTTCAAACCCAATCTGGATCCGACAAACTTATAGTATATAATATATAAGCAACTAAGGAGATTTTTCTCTATTGTGCTTCAAATGATTTAAACCAAACTTGTTTTCAAAAACACTGAGCTATACTATATTTTTGTTGCACTAATCTCATTTTAGATTTTTCATTACATAAGAAAGTTATGTTTACCTACCTCATTTACCATATTCTCTGTTTTATATTAGAAACTGTATCCTATCCAAACTCTGCTGGGTTTTCCTCAGCTTCAGCACAGCTGGTGTGTCTGTTGGAGATCCTGTGCTAAGAACAGGGAAACCTCTTTCTGTGGAGTTGGGTCCAGGAATTATGGGGTCCATCTTTGACGGTATCCAGCGGCCCCTCAAAGACATCAATGACCTCACACAAAGCATCTACATCCCCAGAGGTGTTAACATTGGAGCCCTGAACCGAGACCTCAAGTGGGAGTTTTGTCCCAGCAAGAGCCTGCGGGTGTGTCTCTGCGCAGACATCAAAACTTCTTGATATGTTCAAATCCTCAGATAAATTTATGGTATGTCATGTCTCTTTTTTTTCTCACTGTTAGGCTGGCAGTCATATCACAGGAGGAGACATCTACGGCATGGTGTACGAGAACTCCCTCATCAAGCACAAGATCATGCTGCCCCCCAAAAACAGAGGCACCGTGACTTACGTGGCTCCTCCTGGAACCTACGACATCACCGTGGGTTCAACACACTTCCACCTGAGGTTGAGCTTTAAATACAACTGCTGGCCATTTGCTTTATGTTTATGTTGTGTGTGCCTCTGTCAGGATGTCGTGATGGAGCTCGAGTTCGAGGGAGTGAAGGAGAAGTTCACCATGGTGCAAGTGTGGCCTGTCAGACAAGTGCGGCCTGTCACAGAGAAGTTACCTGCCAATCACCCACTGCTGACTGGACAGAGAGTGCTGGACGCCCTTTTTCCGTGAGTCCTATGTCCTCCATTTTAACAATTTTTACTCAAGACATAGTACAAATGTCCTAGAGGATTTTTTTTTTCTCTTCTCTTTGTGAAGATGTGTACAGGGAGGAACCACAGCCATCCCAGGAGCCTTTGGGTGTGGAAAGACTGTCATCTCCCAGTCCCTGTCCAAGTACTCTAACAGTAATGTCATCATCTACGTAGGCTGCGGGGAGCGTGGTAATGAGATGTCAGAAGTATTGCGGGACTTCCCTGAGGTGGGTATTGATTATACGTATTGGCATTTTACATCACAATGTGAGCGACTTAAATTTGTTTGGGGTGACTAACCATGTCGTCTGGCTGACAGCTAACCATGGAAGTTGATGGGAAGACAGAGAGCATCATGAAGAGAACAGCACTGGTGGCCAACACCTCCAACATGCCTGTAGCTGCTAGAGAAGCCTCCATTTACACAGGTGACTGTCACCGGTTTGAAATACATTCGAGTATACAATTAAACCAGTGACCAGCCTATTGGTTTACTGTGAGTATGTGTAGATTATCTTACATGAGTAGTGTGTACTAACTGAGTTTGTTTCGCCAGGAATCACACTGTCTGAGTACTTCAGAGACATGGGATACAATGTGAGCATGATGGCTGACTCCACCTCTCGCTGGGCTGAGGCTCTCAGGGAAATTTCTGGCCGTCTGGCTGAGATGCCTGCTGGTAAATTTTGAGATTCTCATGAAAGCTGATGGCAGTTTATGTACTGTGTTTCCGGTACTGGGTGATGCAAAAAAGCCACTAATGTTATTTGCTAGTTTACGTTTCTTAACGTGGCATCATGAGCATCAGACGTTAAATTCAAATCATGTAACCTGCTCAAATATCACACTGCGTTACAGGAAATGAGAAAAGCATTTTGTACAAGCTTTCATTGATCAATTTCTGCTTTGTGAAAGGACGCAGCAGTGAATCTGTGAATTTCACAAAACGTGTGTAACCTCCTGCTCATCCTAACAAGGAAGCAAAGAAATTTGGCAATGACTTTGAAAACCGAACAGCTACAATATGCAACTTTTGCAAACTAAGCTAGAGCTAGTTTTCGGCCTCCGAATTGAAATGGGCAGATTTTTGGATTTTGAGTGGCCGAATTCAGTTATGACCTTCAAAATATACAAATGTATTTGATAAGGATGTGGTGTCTTTCATCTATTCTGCCCCCTCCATGACAGTTTGCTGCTCACAGCCCTTGTGTAAAAGCTGCTTATGGTGTTGGTTTATTTGTTTCGCTAAACCCTCTAGTGGCTGAAAAGAAATAGAGTAGATTTAAATGAATAGTCATGGTCATCTGACTGCACTAAATCCTAATACAGGTATGTAGATCTCTGCTGAAATATGAAGACCATCTATCAGCTGAATGCACCAATAGGCCACTGTTTGTTTCAAATTTTAATGCTTGAGCTTCCTGTAAGGGAGACTAGTACTGCTTTATTTTCAAAGAGAAAGCCAGAATTGTGGGAGTGTTCAAAAGTGTTATGTCTTATTGTAACCCACTAGAAAGCAGGAGGGCTGTGTGTAAAAATGATATTCTCTACCCACAGACAGCGGTTACCCTGCCTACCTCGGTGCTCGTCTCGCTTCCTTCTACGAGCGTGCCGGCAGGGTGAAATGTCTGGGCAACCCTGAGAGGGAGGGCAGCGTCAGTATTGTAGGAGCGTGAGTACAGCTTTGTATCACTAGATGGAGACAATTCTCTGCACATGTTGTAGACTGTTAAAGGTGTCAAATTAAAATGTCTGTTCTTCTTTCAGTGTATCGCCTCCTGGTGGTGACTTCTCTGACCCTGTTACTTCAGCCACTCTTGGTATTGTCCAGGTAAATATGAAATTGTGATCCCACTGTCGCCTAATAAAATAAATGGGCTTTGTTGAAGATGCTTTATGATGTGCCTTTCTCAGGTATTCTGGGGTCTGGATAAGAAGCTGGCTCAGCGGAAGCACTTCCCTTCTGTGAACTGGCTGATCAGCTACAGTAAATACACTCGTGCTCTAGATGAATATTATGACAAGCACTTCCCAGAGTTTGTGCCCCTGCGTACCAAGGCCAAGGAGATCTTGCAGGAAGAGGAGGACCTGGCTGAGATTGTGCAACTTGTTGGAAAGGTAATTCAGCACCAAGCTGGCAGCGGCAGTTTCATCTTTGGCTGAGCAGTGATTTTATCTTTACAGTGTCATGCGATAAAGTTCAAAGTTTGAAACATATTCTATATTTACTTGTTCAAATACCTCACAGAAGTTAGGTTTTTCTTTGTTTTTGTTATTTTATGAATAAATCACTAATGTCGCTTAACCCCTCCTCACCTGACTGTATACCTCTGTTAACAGGCATCACTGGCTGAAACAGATAAAATCACCCTGGAAGTAGCCAAACTGATCAAAGATGACTTCCTCCAGCAGAACGGTTACACTGCTTACGACAGGTAACGTAACACTGAACCACACATACTCACTCATTTTTAGTTAGTTATTGACCAGACTTCAAACAGATGTTGGACGGCTTGAGAGTGAAGGTGATACTCCACTTTTGGGTATTTTCTGTGCATGTCAGTGGTTTTAAGTGTTTGAACAGATTACTGATCTAATCTATTAACCTCTGATAAACACTATGATGTCTTTGTGTCTCTTCAGGTTCTGTCCCTTCTATAAGACAGTGGGCATTCTTTCCAACATGATCTCTTTCTATGACATGGCACGGCACGCGGTGGAGTCCACAGCTCAGAGTGATAACAAGATCACGTGGGCCATGATCAGGGAGCACATGGGAGAAATCCTTTACAGGATCACCTCAATGAAATTCAAGGTGCAGTATTTTTTGTTTTGCAGTTGTATAAACTGGTCAGTTGTTAAAAATCATACAAAAATGTTGATATATTTCTCTTTTTTCCTTCATATTTTTAATATTGTGACAAATATTGTATTGTGGACTTTTTATTGTGGCAGTATCATACCATGAGTATTTGGTATCGTTACATCCCTAGTGTCAACTTAGTGGTTCTCAGGTTGATATTAAACTGACAGATCAGGATTCATTGAACAAAAAAATCCTCAAATTACTGCCACATGGTTGTATGCGTCTGCCACCAAGTCAAGTTGCAGTATATAGCTGTCTGTATGTAGGGGAAATCTAATCAGTTTATCCTTGAATCCAATTGGACATTGGTTTTGTGTTCAGTTTGTAAGTGTATTTCTGTCTGTACAGGACCCAGTGAAGGACGGTGAGGCCAAGATCAAGGCTGAGTATGCTCAGCTGTTGGAGGACATGCAGAACGCCTTCCGTACGTTGGAAGAATAGGCACCCACCACTCGCAGTCATTCCAGTTTTCATCTCTGCCCCCTCCACCGCAGACTCACATTCCACCTTGTCGTACTCCCGAAACCCATGTGCTCCTCTTTGAGTGTTTGTGCGTGATGTGTGTGTATGCAATTTCATGTGGAAGGAAAAGAGAAGGATGTACTGTATTAATTTTTGTTGCCTCAAGTAGGTTTGCTCTGAATCCTCTGCATGGTCACTGAATGTGAGTGTGTATGAAAGAGGAATCTCTTCACCCCATTTCTTTTCTATTTTGGTGTGTAGCTGTGCCGCTCTGCCTGAAGAGGATTGTTTGGTTGATATATTGTAATTCAGACCATCTGTACAGAAGAGTATTGAATATAAATTTAATAAGATCAGTCTATTTATTGTCGGCATTTTGATGTAATGGCTTAGTTCTTTCTTTCTGTTTTTATGGTTGTGTTTCACGTTGTGCAGTGTTGTGTACTTTGCTGTGTGAATGTGTAAGAGTCGGATTACAACACTATGCTGTCCAACGCTTTTTGTCATGTTACTCCCAATGAATTAAAATGTGGAGAAAAAGAATTGTGTGTGTTCACCTGTTTGATGTCATAGTTCCTGATGATGCTGTTGAACTGGTCTTTCTGCATAGCACTGGCACCCTGCCCATAGAATGTTTGTTTGCTTGTTTGTTAGTAACAATAACTTTAAGTACTTTAATTGTGAGTGTGTGTGGGGGGGGTTTTTTTATTATTATTTTATTTTTTATTTTTTTAAAGGCCAGCTTGTTTTAGTGCTTGCAAAAAAGACATTACCTGCAGTAGTTGCTCACCTGATTACTTGGATTCAAAAGCACATGGCTGTTATTACATCCAAATTCTTTGGGTGGACTGCTGAATCAGTGAAGGGAGCCTTTTTGGAGCCTTGGTTATGTAAAAACCAATGAGCATCACCACTGAGGTGACGACTCCCTTAAGGTATGTTCCCCTACCTGGATGAGATGCACCTGCAACAAGACAAAAGGAAAACATACTTCACTTGTTAATGGCCTCAGAGCTGTGTTGAACACACTGGTGCTTTCTTGGTTTTGTTTAGTTTTGTTTTAAACTTTGTCGCACATAGACAACAGAAATCCTGGGTTCACTACGTGTCAGGTAAGAGACTGTCGTTTTCCTGCATGTGGAGACATGGGCACTTATGGGATTGTGTATAAAAGTATTTAACCAAGCTTACAGCTTTACATATCTGATAGTAGCCTATTGTCATAGTGGTGTTGTTTAACAAGAACATCCATGTCAACTAATAGTTTATGTCAGCCAGTACAATCTTAACAGTGAACAGAAAAAAGAGGAGAGCATGTGTAGGTGACATTTGGCCCCTACCATTTTATACAAATCTGTTAAATTTCTTTTAATGTTTACTCTTTGTAACGATTCTTTGCTCGATTCTTTCAATTATTTGACATTTTTCCACTTTACCATGTTTGTTTGAGAATATATCATATATATATATATATACAGTATATATAGTCTGTTTAGTAGCCTGAATACACTCCCTTAGTACAGCCCTCCCTGTCAAACCAGTTCTGTTGCAGTGATAATGACTTCCCTTGGGCTGCTGGATATCCCTGTTTGATTATATTTACTGCCAAGGTTCAGATCATGTGCTTAAAGTTCAACTCTCAAAAGACACACAAGTTATTTTTTTCTTTCAGTTTGTCTTTGCGACACCACTGGGGAGATTGGAGTTTGAATAATGTCGAATTTATCCTGCTAATCTGTAGCAAAGTTGAAATAATCATATATTTACATATATTTTTTTTTATCTGAGCAGAGCAGCAGAGCAAATGGACCAGTTATCCAACCGGTCAGGGGTGGCCAGTGATGACATCACAGATGAAACAACATCCTTTGTGGATGTCAGGTGGACCTCTGAAGAAGAAGAGGTAAGACAACTAAACATATCAGGTCCCAATTAAAACAAAGCTACTGCTACATTAATGAAACTGACTATTCTGCTTGTATGCGGCATTTAGACTGTTAGATCTAGTTCTAGTATAACTTACATATACACTAAACTATAAAATGGAAAGCCTTTGACTGCTCTCTTGTTTGTTCAGCCTCATTACACCATGTTTCACCTCACACAAGTGGGACTGCTGTTGCCTCTCTGATGCAAAGCCCAAAAGGCCAATAACACTGTTTACTGTCTGCTCAAAATCAGTGGAGATGTTTCTTAAATTTCTTTCTCAGTCTTCTGTCTGTCTGCCTCTGCTAACCTCCGGTCAGAATTTGACACAGCTTATCATTTGTTCTTGTTTGCTACACAAAGACAAAACAAGTAGCTTTATAAATCCTGCAACACTGTCTCAGCTCCAGTAGCATTCTGGTCTTCTCCAACAGAGCTCTGATCCTAAGGCGCTGTGTGTTGCGGCACCTCAGACTACTCTGTCAACCTACAAACTGAGGTCTGATGAGTTTAAGAAGTTGTTCAAAGAGCTTCCAGAGTCCGAGAGACTCATACAGGGTGAGGCTGCTTCTCATAAGAGGTCATGATGAGATGTAATCATGTTAATTAATCACCCTGTAGGGTGTGTCACTGGAAACCAAAGGTTGGACTCCAGTTTTTTTTTTACTATGTTTTCCCAATAGTTACTAGTTATTTTGAATAAGATTTTACATTCAAATCATGTAGACAGTTTGTAAAACATGATGCATCATTCAGTGGAAAATTCGCTTGAGCTGAAATCCTGAAAATACTAAAACAGAGTTTTTCATTTAAGAAAACAGAAAAAAACCCGTGCCCTCTGTGACAAATCTAAATATCTGCTTTGAAAAATTAATTTGATTAAAAACCTCTGTTCCAATTAAACCTATGCCCATAAACTTGAATTTTTAGTCGATCCACAAAATTATACATAGGCATTGCTGTCTATACATACACACAACTGGAAGTGTAAATAACTACAGTACACAGCAATATCTTACTATAGTGACCTGTTTTATAAATATAGCATGTCACACCTGGGGCACACTCATTTGTGTGGATGATTTGCTAGCTTCAGCAAACCTACTGTATGTACATTTTCCCTCAGACTACCCATGTGCCCTCCAGCGGGACATCTTCCTCCATGGACGGCTCTACCTCTCACAGAACTGGCTCTGTTTCTACAGCAATGTGTTTCGGGGTACGAAGGTAAAGAGATGGTGGAGGAGGACTGCAGGAAGGAGGAGTTAGTACACTGACTATTCATGAATGTAACATTAACTAATCAACAAAATATAGTAGTATAAGGTAAGATTATATTGTAGTACAATGTAAGTTTTATTATCTTATAAATATATATTTAAACTTTGTAAAAGTATCTTTAAAATGGGTTAATCACAGAATTTTACTACAGAGTCACGCCAGTATTACAGTGGCCGGGCAGTGTAGCTTACATATTTGTGTCTGTACACGAAACACTCAAAAGGGTCATTTGGAGAAGACAAACATGTAAATGCAGTACTCTAAATGTTACAGCTGTTGCAACCATATGATAATGCAACAATCCCTAATAAACTCATTGCTGGGAGCAGTAGGCTCACGCCTCTTCTTGAGAGTTGCTAAGTCAATGCAAGGTGTCATCACCGAATCACTCCTGTGTGTAGGAGGATGTATCTGATGGTGTCATTGTGTCTAAAGGTGGATTTTTCTTTGATTAGCTTGTGTGCAACAAACTGCTGCAGCCTTTCACCCTTTTTATAGATTGCACTGTCCCTTAAAGACATCATATCTATGACCAGAGAGAAAACAGCTCGATGGATTCCTAATGCTATCCAGATCTGCACGAACACAGAGAAGGTATATTGTGTGAGATGAGTCAATCACGGTTTATTTCACATTTGATAAACACATCGTTTATTGTTGTTTATCTCTTCATCTGCAGTACTTCTTCACTTCCTTCGCAGCAAGAGAGAAAAGTTATCTGGGTTTTTTCCGTATGTGGCAAAACGCACTTTTAGACAAGGTAAGGCCCTGCTCCTCTCACCTGCTGAAACCTCCTACGGTTTCAATCACAACACTCCCCTAATAAACAGCAGAACCTGTTCCTGCCAGCTGATCACAAACAGCTGTTAACAGTACAGCGTGTACTTGCTGTTGCGTACCTTGACTGCCGTGACTACATGCCTCCCGGCACACCGGGAGGTCTGTCACGTTAACTTGGTTTGCAGCATTGTTTAATCACTCTGAGGTTATCGGTGTTGCTCTGCTATTGCATGCAGGGTAAAGATCTGCACACAGAAACAGGGTTTATTCACGGGTCCAACAGACACAAGCTTTTGTTTATTATTCCATGTACTGCTTGACAAGGATCTAGTTAAAAATAAACACATTAGAGTCCAGCTAAGCTTTTACCCAATTCTTTGCACTGTAAAAGTAAATAAATAATATACTAGAAAGCAAAAGGTTTGCTTGTTTGCACTGAAAATTGCATGTATAAACATTGTAAATGCTGTTGGTCTTTGGTTCTTGTTACCATTGCTAACTCTGAGAGACGAGACAGTCCAAGTAACTTCAAAACATTGCTGATTTATTCAAAGGATCACAGGTAAAATTAACATTACACACTCAGGTATCTTGCACCTCCATCCTGCTCACAGGCAGATGTAAGATGAAAGACCCTGAACCCACCAGGCCTATACATTATATCCCCTCGGTTGGGCTAGCCCCATACTACACAGAAACGTCAACCGAGACGTCTCTGTTGCCAGCTTTGCAGCTGGCCATAGCAGTAGTCAAAACATGAAGTAAATCAATGTGTGTGTGTGTGTGTGTGTGTGTGTGTGTGTGTGTGTGTGTTTGTTGATTAAGTGGTGTGTAGCTAAAAACATTCTCACGACCTCTAGTAACATACCATGATAATAAACATAAGAACATATTATGGCTAAGGCTACAGTTATACACGTCATAATAATAATATTAAACACCCTGTCTGCTGACAGTCATCAACTCTTCTCTCTAGTTATCCTTGACCAGATGTATCCTGTAGAAACTCATAAGCATGCCTAAGCATTTAACAGTCTAACTAGACATCCTATCTCCACTAAACATTTCTAATACATAAAGTATCTATCCAATATCTATCTGACTAAAAATACCTAACAATGCCTTAAAATGTTAAGTGTTTCATGGGAGGTGCTGAAGTGTAATTGTTGAAAATCAACATAAGTAATTGAATTGTCAGTTTATATGTAGGCAGACCTACTGAAAGTAATTGAACAGTAAGAACCAATATCAGGTGCACTGTTAAGTGTATGGAATGAAAGCAGCTAAAATGTTATCTGAGGTCAAGCCCAGCAGTTGGAATGTCTGTTAATGTGTAATAGAATAAACGTACTTTAAATGAAAATGTTGAGGTTTAAGCTCTTTAGGCAGTTGAGATGTTGATTTGCACTTAAGAAATGAAAGCAACTGTCATTTAGAGTAAAGGAAGACAGCAGTTATGAAAAAGATGCACAAGTATGCTCCTATACTTAAGTGGAATTCTGACATCAGACATACTTATTAATATGTACTATACTTAAAAATGTACTACTCTAGAGGTACTATCACATTTCAGAAGGATTTTTTTTGGTAAAATGTAATTTATTAGTTACTTTGCAGCTCTTTAGATACAAAAGAGACAGCATGATCAGTAAAAATATGATTGACTTACGTCAAAATATAATTTGGTGGCTAAAAGGGAGAATTGTGCTTATTTAACTGCAGTAAACAGATAATGAAGAATAAAACTATCGTAAAATAATTATAAAACGCTGGATTGTCAGGTACACATTATGACAATAATGCAGCAATGCTTTTTTCTGGATTATAATGATGCACGACTGGGAGTTATTATTTAATTGACCTATATCTGCCTATGTACTACTATAGACAGACACTATGGCAGCCTACCCACTGTGGGTCTGGTGGGATCTGGAGCACAAACACCTGTATTTAAACGTCCTCGTCAGAGGTTCATTGACCTCCCAGGTGTGGCCACGGGGGTTGATTTGCATTGTCGACGTCACGGCTCGTGTCAGAGTTGAGCCATTTTTGCGTGCATCAGTACTTAGGAGCTTCTCGGGCCACAGGAACGGTCACTAAACCGGACTTAATACAGGTAGAACGAGCTTTTATTTACCTTTATCTCGGTAAATCTGGGCGGCGCGTCTTGACGCCCCTGAGCTCGCGCCAATCCAGCACTTCCTGAATGTGAGTGCGCTGTGCGTCCAGGTTAGAGAACACTGTGTGATAGCCAGTTAACTCTCACTCCTCCGGGGAACTGTCCAGTGACACGTAAGTCAAGCTTGTGTTAAAGCAAATGACACTTTCTCTAGAACTTAAATGGGCTGTAACATCGTGTGCGGTTCCATCTGGTAACAAACGTTCTCGTCAGAATAAACAGGCCCAAAATATAGACCATTTAATCGCGTTACTCCGTTTGGATCAGCAAAGTGGTGTATTGTTTTCGGAACACCTGCAGAGTTAGTAATGTTTCACCCCAACTATTCATTACTTTTGTGATATTTCTGTGAACGAGCTTCTTCTGCTTGCCAAGGATGAAGTGAAATATGTAAGACGAGTAGCGTATCCAAGACAGTAAAGTTCAAAAGCTGTTTGGTTGCTGGAGATTATTATACTGTGAGTAAATTTCCAGGTTACCTGTCACCTATTGTTTTGTTAAGGTCACATTATGGCGTCTATATCTGCTGAATGCAGAGTTTGTATAACGGGAAGAGGATTCTGCAGGTGCTCTTTCCCATGTCCTGATCTCCCTTGTTTATGCTTTCAGCCTCTGACCAACTTGGAGTTGTGGCAGATGGTTAAACAGCATTATGGACAAGACCTGGGGCTGAGCCATGAAGAAATGGAGAGCTTACAGATATCATCGGAATCAAGCATGCAGACCAGGTAAGCACCGTTGCACCTCCCCTACTATAATCACACAATTATTATACATGGAAATAAAACTTGATGCCACCTGTGCAGTGGCAGGTTTAGCATGCTACTGGTTCTTAGGCCACTTAGTCTGCAAACCACGCATGTTCCACTATTTAACCTTTCTTGTGAAAACCCAGCCCCGTACTCCGATGTCCTAAGACAGGGGTAATCATTGGTGGTTGACAGACATGGGCTCTTCAGAGGCCAATCTTTAGAATGAAGAACCTGACAGCTGATGTATAATGTATATCATGTTGTTGTTTTTTTTTGCATCAGATAAAACGCAATGATTCAATAATAACAAATTAGACAGATTTTCTGAACTTAAACATTTAACACTAATGAATAATTTCAAGTATTTGAAAATAAAAATTAGCATTGTCTCTGTTTGTTACACTCTGCCCTTCTCTTCTTCTTTTAAACTTAAAAATGTCCACAAGTAATCAAAAAATGAAACTGTAAAAAAAGAAACATCAACCTTGTGAGCGCAACAAAATTATTTCTACTTGTTCAAAACAGTACATGAGCTATTTTGCTTTCACGTTATGCCATATGGTATTTATTTCCAAATACAAATATGTGCCCAAGTGGTTCTTACAGCTTGTTTGTCTGCAGTCTGAGTGCAAGGCCCAGTAGTGATGATGGCCTCGGAAGGCTAGAGCAGACCCCTTCCCTTCGCCTACCTGTGATTGAGCATGGGCCTGTAGAGACCTCAACACCTCAAGGGGAAGACCTGCTGTCCTCTCCTGGTTCACAGAACACAGCCAACACGGTATTCAAAACTGCATTTCTAAGATTGTGGCACTTGAGCATAGACAAAACATTTTTTACAGCTTTTTCCCCCCACCCTTCCCCCCTGCAGGATGACTCTCGCAACACCCCGTCTCAGCGGCGCAGTCCTGTCCCCTCAGTGGACCGTCTTGTGCCAGAACGGGTTTCCAAACGCTCCTCGCTTTCTCTTGACCTCAACGCCAATGAAAATGGTTTATCAGATCAGAGTTCAGAAAGCATCGAGGAATGTGAGAGGACACAAGCTAGTTTCTCAAGAAAGCTGGAACTTATGTTTTGTGTTCATGTGGTTGAATATTTTCTTCTTTCTCTGGCCTTTTGTTTTCATCAGCGGAGCAGCGAGTGGGTCTGTCCCAGGAGCATGGGCGTCTCAATATAAACAGAGTTTTCCACATCAGCGCCAACAAAATGTTTGAGTTGTTATTCACCGATTCTGACTTCATCCGCAGGTTTATGGACATGAGGAAGATTAGCAGTAAGACCACTTCTTTTCTGCCTATCCCAAAACTAATTTAAGCTGAGTGCATTTTTGACGTGTGTCATTTGTGTTATTAGATACTAGCATAACTGCTTGGCAAAAAGACGCCTCAGGAAACATGAAGCGCACTCTGAAATACACAATAACCATCAACAACCCTCTGATTGGCAAATTCACCACTGTTACAGAGAACCAGGTGTGTGTACAAGGCTGTGAATGGTGTTTGCCTGCTTGACTGAACGAATATGCATATTTTTGTGTGAATTATGGCTCATTTGTCCTCTCTTTGTACAGCATCTGAGAGTTAAAGAATCCAAGGATGGTCATTATTACCACGTGGATGCAGAGGTGTACACTCGTGACGTTCCCTACCATGATTACTTCTACACACAAAATCGATACTGCATCATAAGTAACTCCAAGCGGAAGTGTCGACTAAGGTGAGATATTATAATTGTCTATTTATATGCTGATTTTAACATCCTTAAAACATCCAGTGTGCTGCTAGGGTCTACACTGATGTGAAGTACAAGAAGCAGCCATGGGGTCTGGTCAAATCCTTTATTACCAAGCATACCTGGAGCGGCATAGAGGATTATTTCAGACAGCTGGGTGAGTAAAAGCCTTGTCTGCACACTGTGGTGAGCAGATCCCTCCCTCCCTTCTTTCCTTAACCCTTGGTTTATTTTATCTGTGATCTGAGCTGTTTCCTCCAACAAACATCATCCAGACAAGAGATTAGAGAAACTCATTCATGCCTCGTCTCCAGCAAGGTGGACTACAGTCTTTTGTCTGGCTTTCCCAAAAAGACTGTTAAGCCCCTTTCAGACACGCACTGGCATTATCTAGACATTACCCAGGAGCTGTATGTGAGAACGCAAATGTGCCATATCAGTTGACTCTGATGCTAAACAGACTTTACCTGGCCAGTTTTCTAGTACAAAATGCATGTTGTGTAAGAATGAGCCCATGTGAGAAGACGGCAGCATATAGTCTGGAGTATTCACATGGAGCTAGTGGGTACGTTGATGATCTATCATGCGACCGGCATGAAACCAGAAGAATACAAACATCTGATGGTGAAATAAAATGGTTGTATACAATGAAGACAATGTGATTTGGGAACTGCTGTTGCTAAGGGCCGACGCCAGATTTAAGGAACGGCAAGAGACTTGTCTATGACCAAATTACAAACTGGCTATGTAACCGTGTCATGTTCCGCCTACTTCGTGCTTTACCTAGTCAAAATCAATTTCTGATCATGAGGAATACAAATCCAGCAGGGCCCTTAGATCTTTAGGAAGCAATCAGCTGGCAGAACCTCGGGTCAGAATCAAACAGGTGAAGCCACATTACTTACTGTGTAGCACACAGATGGAGCGACTTCCTGATGACAGTATGCCCAAACTCTAGCCACTTTCAAATCCAAACTTTCCCGTGCCTTGGACTGATTGGTTTCTATGCTGCGCTTTTGTTTTGTGTTACATTCAGGGGCAACCTACAACTTGTAACTGCTCTGTAGTTGCATTTCAGACCTTAGATTTTGTCTGTTTTTGCCTTAAATGAATTTATTCTGGTTTTAATGCTTGTTGTTTTTAACATTGTTAATGTTTGTTTGCCTATGTGAAGCACTTTGAATTGTCTTAAACTACCTGACTTGGCCTCACATCTGTTTGTTGGTGACACCATGCAGAAGCTGAACTGCTGGAGGAGGAAGCGGAGATGAATCAAACGGGCAGTGATGCTGGGAAGATGGGTGGGCTTCGAAGAAGGAGGCGGACTTACAGCCGGAGTCTGTCCGACCACACGAAACCCAACAAGCAGTACGGGCAAAACCCTGAGCAGCACAGAGAAGGCCACATGGGTACAGGACATTGTTGATTATCACTCTGAAGGAGTAGTTCAGCATAACAAAACCTAAGATATAACGTGTTGAAATAAGAGATTTAGAGGGGCTTTAGGACAGAGCCGGGATATCTTATTTCCAGTCTTGAAAATGCTTAAAAGGCTCAAAAACAATGGTTTACAGTCCAGTCATTATGTCAAATGATAGCTTTTCGGCAATGCATTGGCTGAGTTATTATTGTGGATGAGCAGAGTAATAGGACACCATCTTATCAGGATACACTATTTGATGCACCAGAAACGGCAGCATTCATACATCAGGTTGTTTCAAAACCTTGAATGCCATTGTGTCTTCGAACCAGAAAAAAAAATGTTGTACACCAATGCAAAACATTTTCCGTTTGACTGAAACCCAGGTTTCGTTTTCACATGTCTTGTTAAAATTATTCATTTATTTGATCTGCCCTACTCTATTTCAGGCTCCATAGAAATGAATGGCCCATACAGATGGAACACCAATACGATAATAGCTGCGATGAGTGTGATGTGAGTTACCTGTGAAACGATTTGGATTGTGTCCTTTAGTCAAACCTGTATTTTCAAACTGCTGAGAACTGGCTCTGCTTATATCTAAAGGTTGTGTGTGGTAATTCATGGTGTTTGCAAGGTTCTTCCAAGCTTGTGTGTCTCTTCTTTGCCATTGTGCACACCAGTGGTCATTTTAAGGTCAGAGCTTTGTTTCTTTCAGTTTGCTAATTCTGACGGTGCTGAACCTGGGCCTGTTTTTCAAGTTGTGGGCCATGGAGGATGTGACTCACCGCATGTACCTGAGCACAAAGCATCGGCTTAGGGAGAGGAGTGAGGCCAGGTCAGAAAATTTAATTATTTTGCAAATTGCAACATGCATATTTAGTATCTTTCAGTCGTGATCACTCAAAGTAGTAGTCTTATGGGTGGACAGGGTAAAGGGGTTAGTCTTCCTTCCTCTCTTCCTTCCTTCCTTTTTTTTTCTCTGTGGTGTTTAAGCAGCCCACATATAGGAGAGCTCTTGTTCTCAGTGTTTAAACTACCTATTTGTCAGCCTCAATAAATGGGGTTCTGTCTTGCATCAGTGCTCTTTTTCTCCTAAACTACCTCTTACATTTCCCTCACTTTGTTTCTACAGTATGCTTTCTGCTCATAGATGGCAAAACCACAGACAATAAACAGTCTATGTTGATGTAGTAAAAGTAAATATATTTTGTGCACATGCTGTAAGAATCATCGCCATTTCTTTTGTTTGCTGTTTGACAGCTTTGCCTCTGACTACAGTCCCAAACAGGAATTTGGGTACTGGACCAGGGAAGAGATGCGCTTGCTAAAAACTGTACTACAGGACTCCATCAGACTTTTAGAACAGGTAGGTCAGTTTGTTTAAAGCTGGGACTTACAGCATCATTGAGAATCTGGTTCTACCTCAAAATTTGACATCGTTTTGTAAATATTGCACTTAACATGTAGAATAATCATGGACCTTATTGGTGCTTGATATTTCCTTCTGTTACTACTTGATTAAAACAATAATGTGTAACTTTTTCAAATATTTTAGTTGTAGAAATTTACTCAAACATATTGTTTTTCAAATATTTTAGTTGTAGAAATCTACTCAAACATATTGTAATGTGGAGAGGTGCTGTTGAAGCCTCCTGTGACCCAGACTCATTGAACAGCACTGGCAGCAGTGCAGAGATATTGGCTTCTAAAAGGTTTTGTGATTGACCTCTCTAACCAATCACAAATTTTCAGTTATTTCTGCTTGATCAGTATGTTTTGTTGCCTTCTCATTTATTGTAATTTCAAAAAGACATGTCTGACAAGCATAGCAGATCATAGTGAGGCTGGGAGAGGGAGCACTAGGTGGAGCAGAGTGGATTGAATTGGAGTTTCATGCTAGTGTTACCTTAAGTTACATAGAGATTTGTAGCTGTTGATTTTCTTCTAAGGCAGGTGTTGTCTCTGCTGAGTAAATACTTCTTTCCCTCACAGCTCCGCAACTCTCTGGTGCTGCTGCAGCAGAACTTCGCCTTGGCCAATCACACAGCAGCACCGCTGTGATGCTCCACACCTGCTGACAATAGAGCACCTGCCTCCAGCCCTGTTGAGGGGAAAAAGGATTGTAGCACTGAACAGCCTCTCAGGAAATCTCTAGTGTCCAGTGACGTTGCAGTAAAGAAATCCCCAGGTCCCTGACATGCATTGGTTGCCATGGGTTACACATCCCAAAGCCTGTAGTGGGGCCATCAGGTGCCAGGATGTTTTTAAAGCTGCAGACTGGTTGCTGAAAGAACGGTCAGTGCTACTGTTGGCACCTGGGGCTGGTACGAGTCACAGGTTTAGCTTGACAAAAACATGACCTTTAGATCTCAGACTTTGGCATTTGAGCCTCATGTCAGATGAACTAATATAAATATTTTCACTTTTGTGTTGTGTTGGGAGTGAATTTTATTTAAAACGATGTATTTACTTTTTTGCACATTTTATTCATTGCACAGGTGCCTTGTGAATTAGGCAGTTTTAGATTCCCCCCCCCTTAATAAAAATGGTAAAGTGTAAAAAAAAATTTTGTATTTGTAAACTGCAGTACTGGCTGCAACATTAGGTATAAATTAACCTTGTCCTTTTTTTTTTTTTTTTTAAATAAGACCCAAATCTGGTGTACAGGGTTTCATATTTGTTTTCAAGCCACTTATTTAATAGATATTTTATTCATAACCTCTAGCTGTATCCTCAACTGGTTAAAGGAAGTGTTGCATAAATTGATCAGTAAATTGATCCTTATGTATAACAGCAGTTTTGTAAACTTTTTTTCCTTCCCCCCTTCTGCACTGAGCCACAATGAATAAAACTTGATTTGGTATCATTTTAAATGCATATGATTCTGAAGTAAATTCACTAAAGATGTAGTAGTACTGTGGACTCGGTACCTGATGCAGGTTTGCTCTAAATTACAGGAACACTAGTCATTTTTCTTTTTTTTTTCGTAATCACTTGTTGGTGACGCACAAATTCAATTCACTTCAGTTTTGTTAGATGTTTACTGAGGGTTGCTGTCACCCTTGGATTTTAAAAACAAAATGCACAGTTTTGTTTCTCAGTCATTGTAGTTATTAAATCACCTCAAACTGACCTCATTTACTGATTATTGCTTTGTATATTTTTAGACATATTGTCATACATTATTTCATATGGATGCTTTTGTTCCTAAAATTTTAAGGGACGGCTGCTGAATCTTGCTTGTTTACATGTCCACTATTGATGAACATCTCACATTTCCTATTGTTCCAGATCAAGTGACCTTAAAGTGTCTGTATCACATGTCGAGACATGAAAAGCTAAAAGTGTCCTTTGTTTATCACAGGTGAAATACAACACTGTGAGAGTGTCTTTGCGTATTAAACTTGAATCCTGTCCCCAAATATTTCTAGAGGGGTTTCATGGCTTCTATAGTATCTTTATGCTGTAGTGGGAATTCTAATGTAGATGCAGGAAGGTTTGTTTATATTAAGAAGTCTCCTGTTGTGTACTGTGTAGCTTTAGGGATACTTTAGTGTAATGTCCAGTGGTCGAATGCAATAGAGTTTTGAGGTAAGCAAATTCTGCTTGAGTTTTTCTTTTTTGTTGTTTTTGTCTGATTCTACTCTACATCTCAGCAAGAAATGGACTACTTTATACCACACTGTGTTTATCGGACAGCAGGAACTGCCATTTACTTTTCAAACTGACTGTTAAAAAACAGATGGTTGTAAAGTACAGCACCACTTCGTTACAGAAAAGCGGCGTTTGTCTATATGAGTTAGCTCCAACAGACATATTTCCTTCATAAACTTCTCAGATGAATTCATGTAACTGTAGTCCATTTACTGGTACAGCAATATGAGTTTTATTGCACTTTAATGTTTATCAAACATAATCCAGCAATAGCCTATAATATACATTAGGCTAATGAAAATTTGCAGTTATGAATAAGTACTATTTTTGCTTTTGGTACTTAAAGTGGCGTAAATTTTGTATTTTTAGTAACATTTTCCATGCAAGACTTTTACTGCTGAGTATTTTCACACTGTGATATTGCTACTTTTACTTGAGTAAAGAATCCGAGTACTATTTATTTTATACAGTAGTTTAAATGTGCCATGCGTGTTTCTATGTTCGTGCTGTAGGTGCGGGACTGGACGCGGGTTCTGGGCGGGGAAAGGCTGCCTCGTGTGACGTCAAGAGGGAACTGTCTGATTAGCTGCGGGGCAGTGAAGCTGTAGGAGTTTTTCCATGAACACGAAACCGATCTCCGGTGTGGATTTCTTCGTCCACCCGGACACCTGAGCCCAGCCTTGGGTGAGCTGACCCCGGCTGCTGTTGTTCTGGTGCCTTCCACGGCACACCGATCGTCATGTAGCTTCGAGAAATCCCGGATAGGACTTCCGCTTGGAAGCCAGCGAAGAAAGACCGGTTCACTCGATATTTGGTTACTTGAAAGCTTCGGAATGTAGCAGGTCAGTGTTCAGCTATGTTAAAGTTGCGCTTTCTAGTTTATTGTGCGTCTTTCGTGCTGTGCACAACCCTTGTTTGACGTAGTGTAGCCACTGCTTCCGTTAAACGGCGGCGTGTTGACCAGGTGAGTGGAAATCTGGGTTAACTGTGACCCGCAGTCGGTGACTACAGGCTGACAGGAGACGATCAACGCCGTCAAACGCAAGAGAGCAAGACATAAAACGTTACTAAGTACACGGGTGAACTGTATTGTGCCACTGCAGTTTCTGAAACCTTTATCCTTCTGTTTATGATACGCTGTAGCACGTTTAGTGCCATTATTTCCAAAGACTTAATTTGACCCATATAAATATTAAAGTTGTCAGTTCAGCTGTCAGAATGCATTTTAATTATGTGATGTTTACTGTGAGTTTTTTGATGGCGTATTGAACCAGCCTACTGGGCCCAAGGGATCAGGGGATACCTGGACCAGCATTGTGTATGAAGTAATTGTTAGCATTTGTTGTTGGAAAGTCAGTCAACAACAAACTGATGCAAAATGAGTAAAAACTAATGCAACACAGCCACAAAGTGATCCAAAATGAGCACAAGGACATGCAAAACAGCGTCATAGTGTAAGATTGGATTCTTAGAGGCTCTAGTTACTTTATAAGCTTTAGTTACTTCTCATACCTTTAGTTACTTTTCATAACTTTATTTTCCTTGTCTATACATATTACAGCTGTATTGATGATTGTCCAGAACTGCTGAGCTTTGGTTATTCTTAATACATTTATTTTCCTTGCTTATATATCTTACAATTGTATTGATGAGAATCAAGTAGAATCTGCTTACTTTGAATACTGTAACTTCTGTTGAGGCATGATGTCTGCATCTCTTTGTGACCAGACAGCCTATATACATTTTAACAGAGACCTGTTTTACATTCACACCTCAACCCACTTAACATATCCCAAGCTTTGCTTTGTCTTGGGATGTCCTGCAGAGGCCGGGGGCTACAATCTGAGATGACCACCTGGCCAGTTTAACATACTTATTAGCATCACACACACAGGGGGCCTGCAACTCAGGCCACCCAACGTCAACCGAGACGTCTCTGGTGCCAGCTTTGCACCTGGCCATAACAGTAATTAAAACATGAAGCAAATCAATGTGTGAATGTGTGTGTCTGTTGGTTAAGTGGTGTGTAGCTAAAACCATTCTCACACGAGTTCTAGTAACATGTCGTGACTTAAACATAAGAACATATTATGGCTAAGGCTACAGTTATACACGTCGTAATAATAATATTAAACATCCTGTCTGCTGACAGTCATCAACTCTTCTCTCTAGTTATCCTTGACCAGATGTACCCTGTAGAAACTCATAAGCATGACTAAGCATTTAACAGTCTAACTAGACATCCTATCTCCACTAATCATTTCTAATACATAAAGTATCTATCCAATTTCTATCTGACTAAAAATACCTAACAGACACAAAAATGTAAAAGGGAGACAGAAATAACAAGAAAGAGAAGCAAAGTGGGGGAATTCTCTTTGGAGCCACTCCTCCATCTAAAACGTATACAAACAGTTGTTCAGCCATTGTATGCAAAGGTCATTTCAGCAAAGTGAGCTTTTAGAGGCATTTTCATTTATTGTATGTCACTTCCAGTGTCCCATCTGTCACTTCTTGTCTCTGAACAAACTCTGTTAAAGGCTATACTCATTTCTTTTAACTATCTGATAGGTTGGGAGGCTCTCCGACATGAAAAAGCGAGCCAACAAGGTGTCGGAGGAAGAGGAGGAGACCTTGTGCTGCTGTGAGTATGTGAACCGACATGGAGAGCGCAGCCACGTCGCAGCCTGCTGCTGTGACTGTGAGGACTTGGACGATGCCTGTGACAGGTGAAGGGCACTAACATGAGTGACTGACTTAACACTGAGGCTAATGCTTATTTTCATTCAGTTTATTTGATTAGTTCCACTATTAACCGCTTAGACTGAAAATTGCCAGAATATAGTGAAAAAAGGTCACAATTTCGCTGGATCCAAAGTGGAGTCATTAAATTAGGGACACAGTGATTTGGCTTTTGTGCTCCCCGTACCAGTTACATTATCTCAACTTTTGCTGACAACAATAGCAGTTCATGCTTTTTCCCAAATTTAAAATCTGTCCACATCACCGTGTAGGTCTCAACATTTTTTTTTAGGAGAAACTTAAGGCCAGGGAGTCAGCGGCAGACTGTGACTGAATGAATTATAATGACACTGACAAAAAAGCTAAATAGTTTTTCTCGGTTGCTTTGGTACTTTTTTTTAATCATCATTGTTATTTGTGAAACAGTAAGAGCATTTCTCCAGTTTGTACAAGCAGCACCACACAGTGAATTGCCTGCACTTGCTTGTAATCCTTAGTTTATCTCTTAAAGTTAATATGTCAACGAACATGTCAGTGCCATCAGAATGACAAGTCCCTGTGTCACTGTTCATGAACAAGTCAAAGTGCTTAGTCATGTTGTCAATATAACAGTGTACAAGTATTCTCTGATATTGACTGTGGCTCAGGTTTTAATTACAGTTACCGAAAATACACAAGGCTGCACTTGTTCTGTATGGCATGTTATCAGTTTCAGCAGTTTCACATTACTGTATGTGGGAGATTTATTGAGAAAGGTTGGTCAGGATTTCCAGTAACACTTTTACTGAAGCAAATTTTTTTTACAGGCTTCTGAAGAGAGAACCTCAGAAGCCTGACTCCCTGTCACAGGTGGCTGCAGTCGTCACAGACCGGATTCGTTTTCCCTGGTTGTGGGGCGGAGCCCGAAAAGTGGACCTGTCCATCATCCCACCTCTTATTCTTCTCCCTGTCCTGCTGCACCTTGCTGCTTTCCACTTTCTGCTTGGCTTGGTGGTCCTGATAGCTCTGCCCGGCCTGGTGCTCTGGTACTACTACGTCACCCACCGCAAGAAGGGACGGACGTTTTGGCCCTATTCTCCCTGGCATACACATACTACTTATTCATTACTGAGGTGCTTCCCCGTGGAGATGTTGGCCCTGTCCAGCTAGCAGCGGTAACTGTAGGGGTCATCCTCACTCTGGTAGCCCTTGTTCACACCAAGAGAGAACCTGGAATCGTGCGGCCAAACCAAGAGGCTGTCCATAGCACAATGACTTTCTCCAGCCCTGCGGCAGATAGAAACCATGTCCTCAATGGGGGAAGGAAGGATGCGACAATGACGGTATCCAACCGTGCAGGATTGTCGGAGCAGGCGGGGGTGCAGCTGAAGGAAAGTAGTCAAAGGAACTGGTGTCCAGTGTGCATGGTGGTGCGGCCGCCAAGGGCAGGACATTGTCGGATCTGTGGCGTCTGCGTGCTGCGTCTCGACCATCACTGTGTCTGGTGGGTTTCATTAAAGTCCCTGTCACTCAACCCCTCATCAGTGCTTCTTCCTCTCTCTCTCACACATCTACTTGTCTTCTCTACACAAACTGTTTGTTTGTCTTGACTGGCTGTATTTGTATGAGTCAAACATCACATGCATTAAAAGTCCAGCTACAAGCAAACGTTACTTCACTGTCATCAACTCCTACACTTACAGTAAGTGTATTAGTGCTTGTGTATAGTCTAGTGTAACCCCTGGGGTCTCAGTACAATGTTCTGTCTGCCTTGCGTACTTGTGTGTTCATGTGTCCTCTCATTGCTGCTGGGGTAGGATAAACAACTGCGTGGGGCAGG